AATTAAATACAAGTCAAAAGAAAAAAAGAAAGGAAAAAAAAATAATTATTAATAAAACTTATTATACAAATTGTATTATATATTTATTATAGTCATTATTAATTATAAAAAATCACGGGATACCGGATAATCATTTTTTATTAACCATGGTATAATTTTTTTGCTTTAAATTATCATTAATATAATGCTAAAGCTTATTATCTTGCTTTATTTTTCTTTCCGAATAGATTTTACATCAATTTTTTTTTATTTATAAGTGTAGAAATAAATTCAAAAAAATAAAAATAAAAATATGCTAAATATAGTAACCATTACATCGCAAATAAATCATATTTATTAATTTTAAAAGTTTCCAACATTCTTTTGAACTCACTAAAACCGATTTGAACATTTTCTACTTGAGAAGTTTGACGACTACTGCTTTTAGCTCCAATAAAAATAGGAATATTATAAGAAATAACAATATCAGTATCATATTTGGGGAGTCTAAATACTGCCAAATAAACGTTTACTAAATTACGAGCATCTGGATCGGTTTCGTTAAACTTTGCTACCGATTGTTTACCTGTACAAAAATATATTTGTGTATCAGGTCTAAATAATATGAGAAGATTTATTTAAGTTGTAAATAGGGAGATAAACGTAACAAGGTTAAGATTTACTTACGGAAGGGATGGAACTTCTTGTGGGGTTAATTGAGTAATTTGATGTATAGTACTATAGTCTTCTGCATCATTATCATTAGCAACAGATTCAAAATGATACCTAAAATGTTAAGAAATAAAAGTTGAATCGTAATACTTCTTTATTTTTATTTTTAATCTAATTGCTCAAACCCAAACCTTGCGGCATCTTCATTTGAAGCTTGATGAACGAATTGTAGTATTTCAACAATAATACTTTGATCTGTATTCAAATCTGCGAAAACTTCTTGGTTATCCGGTACGTCTCTTACATTACTAATTAAGATTAATTCAAATCAACAAAAAACGTTAGATTAAATTCAAATGATAATAATGATAAATCAATATACCTGACATCCTCAAAGGAAGGAGGAATATACATGGAAATAGCACCACCAAATAATTCTCTGGACATCCTGATTTCTGATTTTCAACAAACTGCCTGAATATCTTGTCTATTTATAATGATTTTAGCAACTTACGTCATTCACACTTTTTCGCAGTGCCGGACTTTTTTTGCGGCTTGCTGCGGGTCTAAAGCATTATCACTACGGACAATAAACCGCTCATAGACCTATATATTGGCCAATCAAATTTAATTGATCAAAATCAAAAAGATCATTCAACTGATTGATAAAACTAAAATAATAATGTTATTTATTAAAATAATGAAAATGTCAAATGACGCAGCAATATCAAAGAAAAGTGAGAAAGTTCGAAAATTGCTGTCGGTAATGAGCTTGTATTTATTTCAGGATTGTAATGTAAATAGGAATTACTGTTTTATAAATATAAAAGAATTCGTTGTGTCAGTTCTATTTAAAGTTGAAACCCTAACAATAACAAATTCACAGTATTTTGCTAAATAAAATTATTTTGAGAAAATTCGACGGCACCTGAGAAGTACAAATTGATTCAACTCGTCGTCGCGTCGAAATGATCAATTTTTGGATATAATATAGTATTGAATTTTTTTTACATATTTCGTTATAATAAAAATAATTGTTTAAATTCCAAGTCATGTGCCCACTGATTTATCATTGGTCGAAATTATGCATAGAAACAATTGTAACATTTACAAATAACGATAAAATTAATTTTAAATTATATTTTTAAAAATGACAACCAAAGAAGAAATTAGACAACGATTAAATAAATTATGAGACGGCAATAAAAGAGTTGAATGTGTTTGAAGAGAGAAAGGACAACGGGCAATGGTTGAAGGAGTTGAGGATAAAAACGAGAATGACCTTACCGAAAAGGAGATAAAGGAGATGGCGAGTCTGGAGGAAGAAGAAAAGAGGTTGAAGGAGGCGAAGAAGAACTGGGAAGTTCAGGCGATATTTTTGCAAAACGAATTAATGAAAAAATTCAATGAAGAAAAAGGTAATGAACAAATTGCATAAAAAAAAATATACAAAAAGTTATTTTCCATTTCGTTTATTTATTTATTTTTAATGAAATATCCATCTATTCAGCTTTCTCGTATAATTTAAAAGAGATTGAAGAGATTAAGAAAAGTCAGAAAAGACATGCAGATGAATATCATAATATTTTAATAGAAATAAAAAGAATAAAATTTTCTATTGAGGAATGGAAGACATGTCCTAGTAATTATTTGAATATTGATTAGTTATTAATATGTACAACATAAAAATATGAATATTTGAATATTGTTATATTTTCTCTTCTAACATTGTTTTTGTAGCTATTAATACAGAAATAGAGAAAGGCAAGTGTAAATTTATTGAGTTTCCATTTGAGACATTAGTTAATTTGGATATGAGCAATCATAGAAAAGGCAAGTTTTTGAATCCACCAGACCTAGATGAAGAATATTTATATCAGCAATTTTTTATGGAACAATGCAAGGGATTGATTTAACATTTGGATATTGATCTTTGTGCTTATGATTCCCATGATGCTAGTCTCCTTGATTCACGAAAACCAGATGTTGTTTTTATTCGGAAGGGTTTGTCTTTTGATCCACTCAATGTTGAAATAGTTTTGGAGTTGAAAACTAAACGCAGAAATTATTTTAGAAATGAGGATATAGGACATATTGCAGCATTTGCTGAAAAAGTACTTCAATTCCAACCTCAAAGACCTTTCATATATGGTGTTCTAACAGATTGCTATTATATTATGTTTATTAAGGTTCAAAGGTCAACAATATCCTCAGATGATTTCACTAACAAGTTTAAATACGAGTTCACTAAAAAAGAATTACTTAAATATGGCAATCAAGGATGGAATTGTTTTGCTACTTTACTTGTGCAAAATAGTGAATAACTAGGTTGGATTAAACAGCAATTATTCTATGAAGAACATGTTAGCGTTACATTGAAGAGATGTATTGGTCATGGGAGGACGTGTCATGTTTTTAGTGAGAATCTCATGATAACACTATTGTTGCAGTCAAAATTTTAAAGTATGAAGATAATATTGAAAAGGAAGTGAACATTTTGAAAAAGCTAGAAACCTTGAACTCTTCAAATATCTCTCCCATTTTATTTTCAAATTCAATCTCTATTGTGATGCCTTTATATGAAAAAGTTAACAATTTACAAAAAAAAGATATCTCTCCCCTTGTCAAAACTATAAAAAGGGTTCATGACTCAGGAATATTACATCGGGACCTTAGAAAATGCAATTTATTACGGGATGCAAACAGTGGGAGTGTAGTAATTTGTGATTGGGGTTATAGTGTTTTTATTAACGAATCAAACTATTTTGCAGGGGGTCTAGAAATAGCAACAGATGATATCCTTCAAAACCTTATTGAAGGAGAAAATGAATTTATTTATGAATGTCAATTTGATCTAATTAGTTTTGTACGCATGTTCTATTTAATGCTCCATTGTCCAACTCTTAAAAGATTATCCCATGAAGAAAATTGGATTAGTAAAAATGAGATTATCATTTCAACTGCAAAGAAAATGCAAGAATTTTGCCACCTCTAATCTATGGAACAGTTTATATCAAAAAGCAAGTAGACTAGATTATGATGGTCTTATTTCAGGGCTGGAAGATTGTTTTTGAAAGTAATAATGATAAATATTAATAAATGATTCGTCTATGAATTCAATTATTATAAAAATACAGGTCGACAGAAAAAATAAAAAAAATAATTTTTAATTCAAAGTGTTTAATAAATTTCCTTGTATTTTATTGATATGCATTTTGATTTTATAAACAAATATTTAAAAAATCTTAAGAAATTACATTTTTTGTTATTTGAAAACCTCTTCTCAAAAAATAAGATTTTCGTGACTCTGATCTGCAGATCAAAATCGCAAATTTTTCATTAGTCCGGACTAATTATTCTCTTCATACAAATATGTCGGAAACCTTCGTTGCAAAAACTTTAATGCTAACGCCTCACAAAGTTTCTTTGCTGATCTTAATCGAAGAATACTGGGATATAATACTGACAGACTCATCAAGATTGGATTTACTTGAGCCATTTTTATTCTTTCTTATAGAAAAAATATCGGTATTTATCACAACAAAAACTTTTGTTCGTATAATTAAATAAATAATACTTGAATTTTCATAGAATGAACAACGATTTCCAGAGCCTACACTGAAAGAGTTTTGTGATGAACTTTTCAAAATATCAGATATGTCAATTAATTTTAAAGAAATATTACTGGCAAAGGTATTTGAAGCTTGACGCGTACTTTTTCAATTTTTTGATATTTACTAATGCTTATCTAATTGTAGCTAGTTGATATTGTTACTCCCAATGAACTCATTTTATTAATTAAAGGTATTTTAAATTCATTCATAATTTTAATCAATAATTGTTGTTATCTCATAGTTTTTACGCGTTTTTTTTTCACATTTAGGAACGAAAAGGCTATTTAACTGTGATGACGACCCTGTTAGTAATTGAATTTAAAATTTAAAATTATTTTTTTTTATTTTTTTTTGTTTTAAATTTCATTTTCTGTCCAATATTTCATTTTAGGAAATCTCCCGTGGACTTTCTCTGGTATCTTCAATTTTATTATGTTTTTTTTTCCTATATTCTGAATATGATCTTCTATTCAAACTTTCATCAATTAGAGAAAATATAGCTTATTGGGGATATTTGTTCGACGTTGCATCCTCGAAATGAACAAATTGATGTTTGATGATGTGAGTCGATTATATAATGCTTTCATCGAATATAGAGACATTGTGGTTAAACCTGTAGTGGAACAAAGTAGCGTATATATGAAAGGTGTCCCTTTCGGGGTTACAGAAATGACACAATTTGCTCAACGATTTCATATGCATAGACAAGGTATTGTGCGATATATAAGTATTTTTGCTAAATTATTTCTTATTTATAATTTTACATTTTTTATTATAATTAGAGTTAATTCCTAAAAACGATGCAGAATCATTCTCTCAGTATATTATTACTCAGCTTCACAGTATGAAATAGTTTGAATGATTTTTTTTTTTAGTTATTAAAATAATTCACATCATTCATTGTTTGTTATTTAACTGAATAATCTGATTTTAATAGAATACGGTAGAATTTTACCCTTAGAATTTGAAGAGAAACTTCGTGAAATACACGAGCGAATTCCAGAAATGTCATCAATATATTATATAGAGTTAGTATCTTGTAAAACGTGTTGTTTGTACTTCAATCATTTTATATTTAATATATGTATTTCTAGATTTATAAAGTGCATACTAACCGGAGAATATGAAGGAGCTTTGGTCAACTTTTACAAGTATTCAAATTTTTGCCCTGATGATTCAGAAAATAGGTAGTGACCTTAAGCATTTTATATAGTTAGTTTATTTATTGAATATAGAAAGAACTTAGGAAATCTTTTATTTCTATCCCAGGAGTTGGTATCAGTATGTTTTATTAAATTTAGTGGTTCTCCACGCCAAATTTGGACATAAAGAACAAGCAATATTGGTTTGTATTTGATTTCTATGTATGAGTTTAACGTGTCTTGCTAAATTATAATTCAAATTAATTATAGGCCATCCGAGAAGCAATCGAAATTGCTCGTGAAAACAATGATCAAGAGTGCCTTCGTCTTGCTTTAAGGTAATATTCTTCATTTTCATTTATATCATTAATTTTAATTTGTCTTGTTACATATTTTAACATGATAATTTTTTGAAATCTAGTTGGTTGTATCGATTAAAATCATCAGATCCGTCAACAGAAACTCAAACTGGTGCATCAGAACAGCAAATGTTGGAATCACTCATAAGCAAAACAAAACACTCAAATTTTATGTACTTGCAAGCTCTCGGAGAACTAGGCAAATCACAACGACAAATTCAACAGGTAAAAGAGCATTTTTTTTGAAAAAAAAAAAATTTCTTTAGCTCGGAGAATTTAATTTATTTTTTTTAAAATAAAAAAAAAAATTCTTTAAATCTTTGAATGTAGGGATCTCCCCCTACTGAAGTATTCGAATCATTACTTCGGAGCTCTGTCTTGAAAATGAATTATCCATTTAAAATAATGCAATTTCAAGGACACTTGTTGAATGCTGGTATATGGAAAACTTACGGTATTTATTTATTTGATATTATCCTAACCCTAAATTATGATTATTTGCGTTTCGTGATTGATCTTTGTGAATTAATAGGAAGCGACACATTAGCAAATTTATTTACTCATGGATTAATCAATAACTCCGATCCTAGTCCAGAGGATCGTGTGGTTGCTATATGCCAACTTGCAGATAACGTAAGTTTATTTATCTGTTATTCAACTGTATTTTTATTCTACTTACAAACGAAATTTTTTTAAATAATATCAGCATATATCTCATGGTAATTATATGAATGCTTTTGAAATTCTTGCAAAGTCTAAAGCACATTTTGATGGTATAAGAAGAGCAATGTCGCAATGGGTTTTTTGCTTTGAAAGTTTAATGTATCAAAAGAGCCTTAATAGGTGAAACATGATGTTATTCTTGATTTTAAATTTGTTGCATAATGCATTATTAATTCGTTTAATATAACAGGGATGAAAATTTTAACATTGGAGCCATTGAACATCAAATTCGCGCTTGTTGTCAAGATAACGATCTTTTCCGTGCTGATTTTGAATTTAATCGAGCACTTTATCTAGCAAAGACGGATCGACCGGATGAGGTAAACGTTTTATGTTTCAAATGTATGACATTAAAATATTAATTCAGATTTTTCTCTTTTAATTTTAGGGAGAGGACGTACTACACAAATTAATCGATCAGAGTTGCAGAATAGGTAACCAAAATCAAATGTTGGTAGCTAACTATTTGCTCAAAATTGCTGAAATTCGCATAGTATGTTTATTTTGAAATTATATTTGGTTAAATTTACTACAATTGATGAATAATATTAATTTAACCGATTTGCTTTCTAGGAGGCGAAAGATTCTACTTCTGCTCTTCCTTATGTTTTAAGTTCCCTATGCTTAAGTGAGCGATTTCGTTATCAAAGTAGTTATTTTCTTGCTATTATACGACTCGCGCAAATATTACTTAATTTTGAATTGGCTGGTAGGGCAAAATCAATGATTGAACAAATTATGCCAGTGGTATGTTGTGAAATTAATTCAGTTGTGATGATGTTGATCAAATTTTCCGATTCATCTGACTTTAACATTTTTTTAGATCCTTGCGGAACATTCGCTTCATCTGCAGTCAGTTGCACAATACATATATGCACAGTGCTTGATTGCATGCATTAATCAAGATTTACAAGGTTTAAAAATTTTTATACATTTCAATAAATTTTTGTCAAAAAAATTTTTATTTACTATGATAAACTTTTACATAGCAAATCGAAAACAAACTATCAATTGGCAAGATATATTAGGTGCACTTGACGCTTCGCGAATAGGATTCACTTGCCTAGAATCTATTTCAGAATTGCTTAATGTACTTCAATTAATGTCGTACGTTTATAATGTAAAAGGTGACATTATTATGCGAAATAAGCGTGCGGAAGAATTTAAAAATTTAATATTACTACAAGAGAAAAATAACAAAAAGCAGCCGGATTGGAATATAACATATTATTCACGTTGTATAAAAGAAAGTCAATCACAATAAAGTCAATAATATATATAATACATGCTCAAAATTGTTGGGTCATAGTTTTCTACTTCCATATATATTTATTTATTTAATTTCTTTAGTAATACTGTATTTTTGTAATTTTAATTAAAAAATCCTAAGTAAAAAATTTGAATATAAATATATTTTAGATAGTTTAGTTTTTAATAGTAGTTTATATCTATTAAATTAATCATAGTATCTTATTAATATGATAATATGAAAATTTGATTTAAGTGTAATTCTTAAGTGTAATTTTCTTAGAAATGTTTTGATTATTTACTATAGTAAATTAAACTTCAAAGTTTCTGATCTTAGAAATTTATTTTCTCTTTTTTAAATAATTTATCTATAATATATTCAATTCTTATTTCAAAAATAATTATAAACTTAAATATAGATTAATATAATATATTATAATTTTAAATAAAAGATTCAAAAAAAAAAAAAATTTTGTTAATTTAATAAAGTTAATTTATTATATATAAAATTCTCATATTTAAGTTAATTTTATAATTAAAGCAAAAAATTAATCTATTTATAAATAAAACTGAAATTGAAAATTAGAGTTAAAATATTAAAATAGAAAATAACCTAGTAAAGTGATCTGGATTGTTTGTGAATGTAAATAAATATCTATCAGCTAAAAAAGTAATTTGAATGACTATTATATAACCACAAGAAACTGAATAAATGATTTGCAAATTATGTGTCAAATATTTGTAAATGATCAACAAATCGCATAAATAATAAAAAATCTGTAAAAATCTGTTTAATCGCAGATAATTTCCTTTTTTCCATAATGAAAAACTTTAAATATTATAATAATGTTATTTCGTGAGTCATAACTTACATTTTTATTAAAAATAATATTTTATTATTTAATTTTCAACTTAAAAATTATTATTTATTAAAGTTTTATTATAATACTATCGTATAAAATAATCACAAATTTTTTGCAAGAGAATAAATACTTTTAACAAATGATGCATTTTTCTTTAAAAACATAAATCTATTAAATAACTTAAAATTTAAATGTGTTCTTTTAGCTGTCAATAAATTTTTAGCATCACTAAATAAGCTTTTGCTGAGGTAGAAGTAGTTGGGATAAATCAAAATCCAGTTCAGGTAAAATAATTTAGTAGTTAATTTATTATCTTATAAAAATTTCATTTAAAGATTGAAAATAAAGAAGATTAGTCAGATAATAATGTTGCTAGAGTAATAGATGCTGTTAATGAGAAATTAGCCTTAAGTTGATCATATTTATTCTTTAATAAATCCTTTGTTTTATTATAAACTTCTTTATTATCAACAAATCCAAGAGATTTAATTTTAGGATTAAGTAATGTTGAAATAAGCGTCTCTTTTTCTTCTTTATTCTAATATAATTCTATTGCATTGTACAAATGAAGCTTTATTTTTTCTAATATTCCAGTAGTATTAAATGACATATTTAAGTATGACCTTTCTAATGCATTTTATTTATTTTCATGTTTAGCTATTTCCCTTTTTTTCTCTAAAAAAACATCAATAATTTCTTCTATATTTATATTTTGGAGTCTTATACTTTCTGGTTTTACACGTTTTTAATTTTTTTTAATAATAGACTCATAATACTATGAGTTACATATTTACTTGCGCCTAGATAAGTTATGGCTTCAGCAAATCCTTTCAAAATTTCACATTGTCACCATGGAATTCTTTAACTCGAGATAGTTACGTTATTAAGTCTCTATTCAAAATTTCTCACTGCGGTTTACTGCAGTTAAGACGTTAGGATCTGCCTAACTCTTAACTTTACCAAATTTACGCGTTGGACTTAAACAAATCTATCAAGTATGAAGACTTGAAAGACGAGATTATGAACAATTTAATTAAAGAATTCAGATGACGAACTCAATTACAAATAATGTGTAGGGATCACATCAGACTATATGAAGACACAAAGAAGCAGAAGGATATAAGTTTTAAATGATTTCTTTATTAATATTGAAACTCGTACTCGTAAAAGAGTTTACAAATCTGCAAAAGAGTTAATTTACAACATAAGCAAAAAGTCTATCTATTTATACAAAATTTCTTT